GGGCTGGAAACCCAGACGTCCGACGATCTCATTGTTTCAATCCGCGGGCAAAAGGAGGTCTCGACCCCGTCAGGGCGGCCCTGGAAAGCCCGGGCCCGCACGGACGGCCCCCGCCCAGACGGCCCCCGCCCAGACGGCTCCCGCCCGGACGGCCCCATCCTCCTCCATTCCTTTTCCTTATAAAGAACCTCTCCCTGTCGCACTCCGCGGGCCAGGCGTTTCGCCTGAGACTTCCTCACCATTTATGACTCTGAAGCTGAAAAATTGGCAACAACAGTTTCACAGATGATGGAGGGAGGGTGGTTTTCAAAATGTGGCTCTCGCCTTAGCGCCGCGCACATTATTTCTAATATTTGCAAGAGATTCATGGGTTGAGGGCGGGTGGTGTTCGAAATGTGGCTCTCGCATAAGCGCCGCGCACATTCGTTTTTTTTTTTTTGTCAGGAGCTTCACGGATCGAGGGCGAGTGGTTTTCAAAATGTGGCTCTCGCCTTAGCGCGGCGGTGCACATTCGTTTTACAAATTTGCAAGAGCTTCACGAATTGAGGGCGGTTCCTTTTCAAGTTGTGGCTCTCGCCTCAGCGCCGCATGTTCAAGATTTTCACGGGTTCCCATCGTCAACGTACAATAAATCGCGTTTTGGAAGGACTCAGGATTATACGGGCGCAACAGTTACATTGATGTTCTGTGTTGTAGTCCTAGGGATCGCGTTCTGGCATTACTCAGGATCGTCACGACGCAACAGTCAGATTGACCGGTGGCGTTGGAATCCCGAGAACAATGTTTCGCCTTGCGTCAGGGTCTTCAAACAGGCGTCTTCCAACGAGGCAGCTCCATCAATGGAAATGAACCGTTGTAGGCGGGAGCTTGGAGGGAGGGTTTACTCAAACATCGTTGATGACTTTGGGGTTTGCACTGCTCCGCCTCCTCCTCCTCCTCCTCCTCATCATCATCCTCCTCATCATCATCGTGATCCTCGTCATCAGCATCATCGTCATCGTCATCATCAGCATCATCAGCAGCATCATCACCATCATCACCATCATCACCATATCATCACCACAAACATCATCATCACCTTCATCAAAAACATCAACCTCATCATCATCATAATCATCAGTATCATCATCAGCATCACCGGCATGATGGTGATAATCATCATCAGCATCATCCTGGTCATCAGCATCAACATCAACAACCTCATCATCACCATCGCCACCATCAACATCATGACCATTATCATCGTCCTCATCAGCATCATCATCATCAGCATCATCACCATGATCATCATCAGCATCATCATCGTCAGCATCATCATCAGCAGCAACATCATCCTCGTCATCAGCATCATTACCATCACCAGCATCAGCATCGTCACCATCATCGCCATCAACATCACCATCAACATCATCATCACCATCAACATCATACGCATCATCATCATCATCATCATCGTCATCAGCATCGTCATCATCACCACCACGATGATCAGCATCATAATAATCATCCTCGTCATCAAAAGCATCATCATTACCAGGATCACCATCAACATCACCATCAGCATCATCATCAGCATCAACAGCATAAGCATCATCATCCGTAGCATCAGCATCATTATCATCATCAGCATCACCACCATGATCATCATAACCATATCATCATCAGCGTCAGCATCCTCATCCTCAGCATCAACATCATCCTCACCATCCTCACCATCAACATCAGCATCAAAAACCTCATCGCCATCAACATCATCAGGCTCATCCTCATCAACATCATCATCAGCATCACCGCCATGATCAACATCATCACCATCATCATCATCATCACCATCACCATCACCATCACCATCACCATCATCATCATCATCACCGTCACCATCACCATCACCATCACCACCACCACCACCACCACCATCATCATCATCATCATCATCATCATCATCATCATCATCATCATCATCATCATCATCATCATCATCATCATCATCATCATCATGGGCGCCATCCCGCGGCGGGCTCAGCGGCTGATGGCGACCCAGCGTCCCAGCGGCGCTGCCGGCAAGCGCGGCGCGGCAGAGCTGGCGCGGCAGTGGCGCACTGTAAGATGACAGAGATGCACGAGGAGGAGTCCGACGGCCTCGTCGACGCCTGTGCCACGACGCCCGTGGTGGTCGGCGCCCCCTCAGATCGCGCTGCTGAGCCGCCTGGTGGCGGCTCTCGTGCTCGCGGCGGAGGTGTTGCGGCTGCCGCCTCGCGCCCGTGCCCTGGCGGTGTGCAGGAGGCGTCCGAGGTCGTCGGAGGAGGCGAGCCGCCCGCAGTGGCTGCTTGGGTCTTGGCGGCCCTGCGCGGGGGTGTCTGGGAAGGCGCCGTGGTGCACGTGGTCTCGATCGAAGGGGACACGGCCAGCGTCCGCTTCGCCGGAGCGGGCCAGGAGGCGGAGCTCGTCTCGGGGGTGCGGCTGGACTTCTTGAAGGTCTTCGAGGACGGCGCCGCGCCCCCGGCGGCCTCGGAGCGCGAGGCTGATCCCAGGTCGTCAGGCGTGCCGAGACGGCTCGAGCGCCCAGCAGACGAGGGCTAGCCTGCGAGCGCGTGTGGCTCTGGCGGCCTGCCCTGCTGGATTCGCCTCGACGGCTGGCGCCGACGGTCCCTGAGAGGCCGTCGGCTGGCGTGTTCGAGGCTCGGGGGTGTTCGCCGATCGCCTGGCCCACGGGCATAGGGGTAAGAGGGCGGCCGACTCGCCAAGGCCATGCTCGCATCAGAAAGCAAGGCACTCGTGCTGAGGATGACCAGTTCTGGGCATCTGGGATCTTGATCGTCACCAGGGCAGGCCGAGCCCAAACGGCAGCTCTGCCTCGGCGGAGTGAGCGGGCGCTGTGCTTCGCACGTGTTTCGCTGAGAGGAGACCCTCATCAAACTCCTCCTCCTCCTCCTCCTCCTCCTCCTCCTCCTCCTCCTCCTCCTGCTCATCATCATCATCATCATCATCATCATCATCATCATCATCATCATCATCATCATCATCATCACATCATCATCAATCATCATCATCATTCATCATCATCATCATCATCATCATCATCACATCATTCATCATCATCATCACCATCATCATCATCAGCATCATCATCATCAGCATCATCATCAGCATCATCAGCATCATCAGCATCAGCATCATAATCATCATCATCACCATCATCATCAGCATCATCATCGTCAGCATTATCATAATCATCATCATCATCATCATCATCATCATCATCGCCATCATCATCACCGTCATCATCATAATCATCATTAGCATCATCATCAGCATCATCATCAGCATCATCATCGTCATTGTCATTGCCATTGCTAGATTCATCAGCATCAGCATCAGCATCAGCATTAGCATCAGCATCAGCATCATCAGCATCAGCATCATCAGCATCATCAGCATCAGCATCAGCATCAGCATCAGCAACAGCATCATCATTATCACCACCAACATCTTCAAAATCACAAGCATCATCATTACTAGCAACAGCATCAGCATTATCGTCATCATCATCAGCATCATAACCATCATCATCGGCATCGTCATCGTAATCATCATCGTCATCGTCATCATCAGCATTACCATCAACATCATCATCATCATCAGCAGCATCATCACCATCATCACCATCAATGTCACCATCAACAGCATCATCACCATCAACATCATAAGCATCAACCTCGTCATCATCATCATCATCATCAGCAGCATCATCAGTATCATCATCATCATCACCAACATGATGATGATAATGTCGATGATCATCATCCGCATCCTCATCCTCATCATCAGCATCATCCTCATCCTCATCATCATCAGCAACATCGTCAGCATCGGCATCGGCATCAGCATCAGCATCAGCATCAGCATCACCATCAACATCATCGTCATCATCGTCATACTTATCATCCGAATCATCACCAGCGTCAGCAGCCTCAGCATCATCATGAGCATCATCATCACCATCAGCAGCATCATCAACATCATCAGCATCAGCATCATTCACCATCATCGTCATGTTTCTCCTCCTCCTCCTCCTTCTCATCATCAGCATAATCCTCGACATCATTATCAGCAGCATGATCATCAGCATCATCAGCATCATCATCACCATCAGCATCGGCATCGTAATCGTCATTGCCAAGGTCATCATCATCATCATCATCATGATCATCACCATCACCACCGGAACCACCACCGTCATCCTCATCATCCTCCTCATAATGATCAGCATCATCATCATCATCATCATCATCATCATCATCATCATCACCATCACCATCACCATCACCATCATCATCAGCAGCAGCATCATCGTCATCATCTACGACGGCCTGACTTTCCCAGTCCGCGGGCCCGAGGGCTGTTCGCCCCCCGCCCGGGACGCCACTTGAAGTGCACCGCGAAGCCTCGCTGGGCTCTGGACCACCAAGCACCTCTGAGCCTGCCGACCACGACAACCGGGCCAGCAACACAGACTTCCGACGTCGAGGATCGAGGATCGAGGACCGAGAATCGAGGATCGAAGATCGAGGATCGACGATAACGACTATGTTCCTGTGGTCTTGGGGGCTTTCCTGGGGGTTCTCGTCGCCACGGCTGGATCCGAGGAGCGATTTTGAGCGGATTCGGGCGAGCGATCCGACGTCGCGCTGCTTTCAGAACCCAAGCTTTTACTCGATTTTGGCATCTGGGGTTCAGGCCAGGGGGCCATCAAAACCATCTGGAGAGAAAAGCGGTCACCCAAGAGGGGGTCGAGAAGTTGTGGGTCGCAGTTTGGAACCAAAAAAAAGCATCGGAAGTTCAACCAAAATCCGCGCAATATCCGTCCGCGGAACGTTCCAGGGATCCATCCTGGCAAGCTTCTCGAGCCAAGAACCCTCCGAATTATCTTCGACGTCGTCATCGATCCTCAATCATCGATCCTCGATGTCGGAGGTCTGGGATCGGGCTCCCTGGGGCACGAGACCACGTTGGGCAGCACAGCGTCTTTCCGCATGGCCTCCGCTGCTTGCTGCGGCTTCTCCTCCAGCTCCTCCTCTTCCTCCTCTTCCTCCTCCTCATCCTCCTCTTCCTAAGCCGCGTCCTCCTCCTCCACAACCATCCTTCGTCCTTCTCCGTCATCGCAAGCCCAGACACGTCGGTAGGGTGGGCTGGGCATTTCGCCTGAGACTTCCTCACCACTCATGACCCTGGAGCTTGAATTGTGCAAAAGCTTCACTAATGGAGGACGAGTCGTTTTCAAAACATACCTCTCGCCTGAGCACCGCGCACAATCGTCGTAGAAAATTCGAAGCAATTTCACGGATGGAGGGCGGCTTCTTTTCAAAATGTGGCTCTCGCACTAGCGCCGCGCACTTGCGTTACAAAATTCGCGGCAGCTTCTCGGATGGAGGGTGGGCCGTTCTCTAAATGTGGCTCTCGCCTCAGCGCCGCGCACAATCATCTTAGGGTCGGAATAACGGAGTTCTTGCCTGGCACAAACCCGCCAGCGCTGGAAACGCCCCCGCGGCTGGCCGCAGGGGCGCCCTCGCTCGGCTAGTCGGCCGCGCGCTGGCCGACCCGCTTCCGTCTCTCGCTCGCATTGTGCGGTGCGGTGCCGTGCCGTGCTTCTTCCGTATGGTACTGAGGCGGGATAGAAATACCGTACCGTGTCTCGTGTCTCGGTCCATAGTGACCAGTACCGTGTCTCGTGTTTCGGTCCATTGTGACCACGTGTTGTGGCCCATCGTCGCCTGCTGAGTGACCACGTGCTGTGGCCCATAGTGGCCTGCTGCGCTCACTGGCCCAATGGGACGTTTTCCTCTAGTCCATGGGCATGTGCTGTCGCTGGCCCATCCGACCCGCCCTAGGGGTGGGGTGGAGGGTTGCTCCCCCACGGGCCCGACCGGCGTCTGCCCGTTTGACCTCGGAGAGGCCGCGCGCTGCGGGGCAGATGAGTCGGGTCCGCACCTTCCGCTCCTGGGGGGGGTTCCCTCCTCCCCCCCAGGGCCGAGCGAGGCGAGTGCAAGCGCCTGAATTTGCGGAAGGCTTGCGAAAACTTCAAGCATGAAGGGCGGGCCGTCTTCAAAACGCGGTTCTCGGCTTGGCGTCCCGCACATTCGTTTTGAAAGTTCCCAACAGTTTCGGTTGGAAATCCAATGCATGGTGTTCTGGTACGGTTTAGAACTGTCAGGACGCAACAGCTTCTTTGCCCCGCAGTGCTGAAATCCCAAGGCATGGTGTTCTGGCAAAATTTAGTATTGTCGTGACGGGACAATCACGTTGATTCGCGGCGTTGAAATCCGAGGAACGGTGGATTTTCTGGCGCGAACGAAGACTATCAGACGTTTGTCTTCCAATTGGCACTGCCCGCGCACGAAGTTCCCCAAACTGTGTTTAAACTTCGGGGTTCTTACTTGCGCTCCAAGGAACTGAGCCGTGTGGCCGGTCGGACGGCTATGTTTTCGCCGTCGCCACCCCATCGCCGCCTCGTCGCAGCCCGTCGTCTGGGCCGTGGGGCCGGTCTGGTGGCTATATACTTGACCTCGCCGCTCCGTCGCCGCCTTTTCGCCGTTTCGTCGCCGCCTGTCGCCGCCCTTGGATTGAACCACATAGATTGCACAAGAAAAGAATCGCACCGGCGGCGCGCTCTTTGATCGCTCACAACATAAACTGAACATAGCATACATGCATTGCAAAACAAAAAATCACCACATAGATTGCAAAACACGTATTGCTCAACAGCATTTCTTGTACAACATAGGTCGCACTACGTATATTGCCCAGGATACACAGCACAATCTAGGGTGTACAACATACATTGCACAACGTAGATTGCACAACATAGCTTGCACAGCAAAGACTGCACCGCGTAGATTACACCACGTATACTGCCCGCGTGCAATTTGAGTACGTAGATTGCACAATATATTTGTGTCGCGCCTGCGGTGCGCTTTTTGACCGTTCGCAACATGGTCTGTACTACGTATACTGCACAGCACAGGAATAGACCACACAAATATTACACAACATGGATTCTCCTGTCTAAGGGGGTACAAGCATCTGCCCCCACCCCACCTCCCCCAAACTTCACCGCCCCCCTTTTTCGTATCGCAATTTACATACGGTTCTGACCCATCGACCACCGTAAAAATGAACTGGTATGATGTCAACCTATACCGGTAACGGTCCCAGCCTCATCCTCTGTAAACAATTACGCGCGCACACTCAATTATCAAAATGTACAAATTCCCCCCCCCCCCCCAAAAAAAAAAAAACCTTCTTTTACAAACCATGCGACGGAAAGCACACGCGCGCGTCGTCGCGCGCACATGCCGCAATCCTTCAAAAACCTTGGGCCGTGTTCAAAAGTCAAGATCGACTGTCCCTGAAGCATAAAAACACATGGTTTCGCAACAAAAATGTATGTATGTATTTGTTATTTGTACGAGCGATGTATGTATGCATGTATGTTTATACGCTTATATACGTACATATATATATAATAAGTACAAAAACTAACAACTAAACAAGCAAGCAAACAAACAAACAACAAGACGCTCGCGTGCGAATGATACTGCTAAAACGACATAGGTGTTTCAACATATCCATAATACAGAATGGGCCTCTCGCGGGCGCATGCCGACATCGTTTGAACGCCTTTGCGTGCGTGGTGTCGCAAGAACCCCTAGCCAAAACACAACCAACAACAAAAAACAAAACAAGAAACGATGAACGCGCGCGCGCGTCGTCGCGCGCGCGAGCCGAAACCCGTTAAAACGTTACGCAGGGATGAGTTTTTATATATATATATATACATTTTTTTTCAAATATATATATATATATATAAAAGAAAAAAGGAGGGGGGGGGGGAAAAAAAAAAAAAAAAAAAAAAAAAAAAAAAAAAAAAAAAAAAAAAAAAAAAAAAAAAACGAATTAAACCGCATGGATATTCAGCATCAGAGCTGTTCAAGAGAAACTGCGCTGGCGACCTTGCGAATTCTGAAGCAAACCAAAAAAAAACATTAAAATATGCAAGAAGGGGATCCTGCGCCGCATGTCGACATCATGCGGACGCCCTTTGCGCGCGTGCGGGGGGGGAACGATCCGCGTCAAAAAATGCAAAACGTGTCACTTTCGCGCGTCGGCCGCGCGCGCATGGCGAATTCCTTCCAAAACTTTCACCACCGACGCGCGGACGATGTCATCATCGCCGGTGCGATCAACATCGGCGCCGTCAACGGCCGCGCCGTCACCGTTGTCATCATCGCTACGGTACGGTGATCGACGCTGCTATGATGCCGCACCCACCCATTTCGCCGACCCGCACTAGAGTGCCCGCTGGGAAGTGCCCAGCGGTAAGCGCCACCGCGGCCGCGTCGCTCGCGCAGCACTAGATGGCCGCTGCGCGCGAGCATGCGCGGGCTAGCGCGGCCGCACAGATGCATCAACCAAAGTGAAGCATTCATCGCCATCGCCGCCGCATGAGTTTTGCAACACAAATTGCGGGTGGGCGGGTGGGATGATTGCGCGAGCAGCGAAGTTGACAACTGCGAGTTCCACTCGGAAATTGCACAACCTAGAATGCAAGGCGTCAATTGCAAAAACATGGGTTACACCACACGTAGCGCACAACACACATTACAACACATAGGTTGCAACACATAAATTGCAGCACGCGGGTTGCACAACATAGACTGCACCACATGGCGCGCACAACATCTATTCTCCCTTCTCAACAAAAATCCACCACCCTCCCCACCCACGGGCTACCGGGAACCAATGCAAAACACATAGGGTTCCGCACCATTGTCAATCCCCCGACAAATGAACTCGCACTATCCCAGTGGGGGCGGTATCGGCCCCCCCCGCCATCCTCTGCAACAAAAACTATGCGCGCACACTCGTTTATCAAAAATTACAAGTTGTCAAAACCCCTTGCGAAAAATGGGACGAAGTGCGCACGCACGCGTCGTCGCGCGCGCATGCCGCAATCCTTCAAAACCTTCGGTTTGGAAGAGGTTTCAAAATCGAGTTTACAAACTCTAAGAGAAAGCATAGCTTCTTCAACAGTTTCACAAACTACTACCAAACGGGCTTCGCGCGCGCGCGTGTCGAAATCGTTCGAACGCCCTTGCGCGCGCGCCGTCGCGAAAATCGCAAAAAAAAAAAAAAAAAAAAAGTGCACGCGCGCGCGTCGTCGCGCGCGCATGCCACAATCCTTCAAAAACCTTCGGGTTTGAAAAGAAACCCAAATCGAGTACCCAAAAAATATACAAAAACACTGGGTTTCGCAACACGGGTTTTCAACAAAAGCGTGCGCGCGCGCTCTTGCGTCGTCGTCGTCGTTGTCGTCGCCGTCCTCCCTCCTCCCTCGTCGTCGTCGTCGCCGTCGTCGTCCTCTGTTTTTACTCGTCCTCGTCGTCGTCGTCCTCTTTGGCGTCGTCGTCGTTCCCGTCGTCGTCGTTGTCGCCATGGTCGTCCTTCCTCCTCCCTCGCCGTCGTCGTCCGTCGTCGGCGTCTCGACGTCGTCCCTCCCGTTTCGTCGCCGTCGTCGTCGTCGTCGTCGCTTTCCCTCCTCCCTCGTCGTTGTCGTCGGCGTCGCCGTCCTCCTTCCTTTTTCGTCGTTCGCGTCGTCGCCGTCCTCCCTCCTCCGTGGTCGTTGTCGTCGTTGTCGCCGTCGTCGTCGTTTTCGTTGGTGACGTCGTCGTCATCGTTTTCGTCGTCGTCGGTGTCGTCGTCATCGTCGGCGTCGTCATCGTTATCGTCGTCGGCGTCGGCGTCGTCGTCGTCGTTGGTGTCGCCGTCGTCATCGTCGTCGTTGTCGTCGTCCAAGTCGTCGTCGGCGTCGTCGTCGCTGTTGTCGTCCTTGTCGCTGCTGCTGCCAAGTGCCATCTGGTACCCACCGTCACGGTCTGAAGAAATTGTGCGAGTTCGTTGCGGGTGGGAGGGTGGGATGTTTGCAAGAGCAGCGGGAAGAACAGCTTCCAGGCGGTCAAAGTGAATTATCATTTTCAATTC